CTCCAACTAAAAGTTCACTGACAACCCTGTATTTACGCATCAATTATATCAGCTGCCGTATCCCGCCCCATTCTCCCAAGTTATCAGTGAACGAAACTGTGGCATCTATAACCATTGTAAGGCAAGCACGTGGTTTTTACAGCTGTTGATGATAATGGGGGAAAACATCAAAATTTCAATTATTTATACAAATATGCTCTCGAAGCATTGACCGCATTTAGTCTACCAAATTACTTGTGGGAGGAAAACCCAGACGACAGATCAGCTCTAACATACTCCGAATGTTAGAGGACCATTTGCTTCGCAAAACTTTTCCCATGCACACGTTGGAAATGACCCAAGGAGGTCCAAATTATGACCTAACAGCGGAACACCTCGGCCTTCCGAACTACAGCCTCCAGTCCCGACCCACCAATCCATGAGACCGTGGCAGATGGAGCTACGGATGGCTTGTATGACGCCCATAAGTGGCGCTGTGCGACGACGTTAAAGGCTGGAGAGGTGAGGGAACCGCGAAATTCCGAACTAAAGGGAAGCGATTTTTACTAAAACAGCAGACTTAGGGGTGCCGTGGTGACAGACCATACGATTATCAAGCAGTTGGACAGAAAATTTACCAGGAAAACCACTACTACCCGAAAATCACAAGTCCTGTCGACGGTAGTCCTTCGTCCTCCGTAATTCACCCTATTCAGAATGGGAAACGTGACCTGCTCATGACAAGGGTGTCTGCTTATTGCTATCATGGAAATTGACCGTTCGATACTGCAGCTAAGATTAGCGTCTTTTCTGTTGGAGACTGGGTCCACAAACTCAAATTCCGATAGGAAAACTCATACGACGAAAACTCGGGTTCCGTCCTGGAAGAGGCTACTTAGGACGAGTATTTGCCCCACACCGGACAGCGGGACGTCGACAATTCTCAACAGCTTAACAGTATGCTTCGCCGATTTTCGCGCCCCATTTTAACTTCGTAAACCGCGATCCGGTATTATGAAAATCCCGTATCCTGGGATATGGCGATAAAATGACTTCCATATCCTTTCTGATGGCCTGCAAGGTCACCTGCTCACTAACTGGGCAATCACAGAATCACTGAAGCGAATGTCAGACAGAAACGCCGATTCCCTAATCTTGGATAGCGGGCTTGTGATACGCTGGTGACGCCATTCCCTTCAGCAAAAACTAGGAGGAATAACAGCGCATCTTGTCTACTGCACCAGGTAGCACTTATAGGGGGAGGCCAATCCTAAAGACAATTTCCTCCACTTGCATGGACATGCCTGCACAGCAAGGTTGGAAAAATTACCGGAGATCAACCAATTTAGCTGACTGATAGCAGTCTGTCGGGTCAACAGCACCGGTTACCTCAATGAGGCTGGGCGATACTTTACGCTCAGTCCACGCATAAAAATCCGATTGCTCAATGCGGCTATCCGCCAGGTCCTAATTAACATCGGTTCAACATGGTCTCTTAGACCAGCAGTGCCTCCAACAAGTACCGAAAAGTCGCCACCTGGGCGCCCAAAGACGAGATACAGTTGTAATTACCTATTGCGCTGACCCCATCAAATACATTGACAAGGCTTGTCATCTATGCTAAAATAGCGCAGAAATTCCCTTCATGTTAAAGATGGCTTCGCGGACTGGGACGTCAACTGAAGAGAAAGACCCACTTCTTAACAGCCGGCATACTGAATGTCCACTAAAGGCGCGGCCTCTAAACAAAAAAGTTGTCCAGCTTTGACACCCTTTCGGTGCTTAGCTGCCACTCCACACAGAGGCACGAGGGCTGGGATACGGCCAGGTTGCCCGAGCTTAGACAGAGGGAGTCGAGAGGCAGAGTTCGGGTTCGAACCACGAACCTTCCGATCAGTAAATTCGCACTCTAATCACCTGGTTCATCTCGCCCCTCCGCCCCTAAACAAGGCCTCACCGTGCTAGCTAAAGGTTATCAAAAACACACGAGCTGCTGCCAGATAGTTCCTCTGTAACAATTATTGGAGGAAGGGCTTTTCGCCCATCAGGCACAGTGGACGAACATACACTCGATTAGTTGAACTATAAAACTGGTCAATAACCCCAGTTCAAAAGACGGAATTCGCCGATCCATACCTAAACCAGCCTTAATTTTTCAGACCCAAGACGATTCACCCACTCTGTTCACTGCAAGTTGTTCCTCAGGGAAAATATGAAGCACAGTACTTGAAAGTAGTGAGAACTCTTTGTCGAGAAGGATACAGTATTCTAAATATTGTTCCCACTGAAACATGAAGCCGCCTTGTGAAACATCTGGCTGAGTGCAAAAACAGAAATTCAACCACGTCTCTTGTAGAAAAATGTCTTCACTTGCAGGCGAGCAACTTTACAAAATATCGTTTTGTATAAAGCGGCATGGCGAGAAACTTCGAGATGGCTGGAATATGGAAATTGTGCCCTCGGGTGCTGGTCGGGTCGTCCAAATGTGATGGTGCAACAGTCCATATGAAAGGCATCTTACTCGTAGGACCGTAACAATGCGCTCTATAAATGGTTACGACTGGGTCTTTTAAATGAGTAAAGCCATCAAGAGCACCCAGCCTGATACCCCCCCCCCCAACAGATTCGCCACCACGTAACCTGATACATAAGTATTTCCATTAATTTAAAAGAGCGAAGGGCGGTACCGGGCACATTAGCCTGGCTGACGGACCATTGGTTACCCTTCTAGGTGGGTTGTCTAAGCTCTAATTCCTAACGGCGGAAACACGAGTCGGTCCGAATTCAAGACAACACTGGCGGTTTTGTCTTACCAATCTCGAATTTCGCGCAGTCTTGTAGGCCTTAATTAGTTGTGCAAAAACCGTAGGTCTCTTCGAACAAAAGCCGAATGACACCGAGGACGTTGTCGATATCACGACCCCTTGATGATTCATGAAATCGAGTCAATCTACTCACACGCTGCTGCATCATTTCAAGAAAATCTACACACACCATGCTATTCCAGTGGCAGCAACGGCAGAGTTGCGGCTCCCAACAACGCACTCACGTAGGCAGCTGAAATGTCCGCATCCTGCTGAGTGATTGCACTCGGCGGATGACTACTCGCAGTTTCCACAACAGCCGGATTAATAGCAATAATCGTAATTCGGTTGCAACACCACTCCAGGCATACCTGCCATGCCACCTGAAGGAAGCACAAAAGCTGGAATACCTTCGGATCGCCCAAAACTGAACAGGAGCAATCGGTGCATAGGTTGGGTTTGAGCCAAGAGACCCTTACTGTCGGTAAATCCGCGCCTTAACCACTGAAATACCCTGAGTTCACAAATTAGGTGTCACACGCTTTCCAGAGACCAGCTAGACTGAGGCAACTTCCGTAGCGGGAGTCGAAGCCAACTGCTTGCTGTACCGTACTGGCCAAGGGGACGACTCGATTATCTGCCACTTCCTGGGTTTATGAAGCGAAAAAGGTGATAAACTGGTCGTCTCTACTTTGTCTAAACACCTGATCATAACCAATAAGCACTTACAGCATCCTTAACACTTGCTGACGTGGTATTTGAATGACGACAATGCAACTTATGTCGACTCGATCCGCATCACTAGTGTAGAAGATCCGAAACTGGAAAGTGGGAGAAACAGTGTAACCCTGCATTTCGCTCGGCTGGGGAGGCCCAAAACAGCAGCCAACTAATTGCTCCACTGGTCGTTAGTTCGTATTTGGTGTATCCATCTAAGAGGGCTCGATGGACCGAACAAGGATGCCCCGTAAAGGCAAAAACCCTTCCCTGAGTTACGTCGCCACATGGAGCCTGTATTCCCTGAAGCTGCAGTTTAGATGCACCCTCAATAGTGCCCCAAGCAATCCCACATATTGCACCAGTCCCGCGATGCAACGTTGCTATCTACCGAAGAGTTGAACACTGGTGGGAGCGCCAAGTGGGGTCAACAGGTAAGTCAAGGGCTAGTGTCAACCATGTGAACCGAGTCCCAGTGGGCGGCACTGACCAGACTCTACCTGAAAAACACTTGACAGATCGTTCGTAAACATCAAATGGTTTGCTTGGAAATCGATGCTTGTACAGACTGAACAATTGGGTCACAGTACCTGCCAACTAAACACCACAGGGAGTTGAGGGCTAGCAGAAAGCCAGATTGCTCAGGAGCCTGAGATTCGAATCGTTGACCTAACCAGCGGCCACATATCAGTCACTGATCTACCTCGATCAAGTGCCTCCGACGCGATTTATTAGGCGTTACAGGGACTTTAAGGAATTATGTCCCTTTAGAAGAGAGAATACAATACAACACAGCTTGGTAGATACAAACACTTCGTATTCTTCTGTCACCATCAAGGCCAATGACTGCAAAACAGGGTTTGTGGCGACTTTCAAAATAAATTTCATCAGATGATCACGCATCAGATGGGTCAGGTTAAAATAACAGCGTAACTATCAAGCTCGTCGTTCAATTTAGTTCCAAGCTCAGTAGAATGCTCATTATATCTTTGAAGGTTTGGTTGGTAACATAAACTAGATCGACGTAGCAGAATATCGTTTGAAATTCAGCCATTTGCCGCACCCGCTGGTTCAATTAACTCTGTACCACTGTCGAAAACCAAGATGACCTCTGGGAGAAATGGTGCACCCCAAGTTCTCTCGAAGACAAATAATTTCCCTATTTAACTGTTCTCATAGATAGGACCGTGTCAATGGTGTTATCATTCGGGATGGTCCGGGAACTGCAGACGGCAGTGACCCAAATGAGCAAGCCGTTCCAATACAGAAGGGAACTGCGTGCTGATCTCTAACGTCAGCTTTGTCTCACATGGTGATCTCGTACTCTAATCTAGCCGCAGGATGTTCAGCAAGGCACTCGTCACACAACTGACGGGTACTTTTGTCACCACTGGCAGTAGAAAGCACGTCTTTACTTTCCACCCTGCCGCAGAACGTGAGCAAACCCTAGGTCCTTCCGAATATTTGGTTAAGATACACGAAAAAGTGAAAACTATGTATTCACGATATAGACACAATATCAACGCTTTCCGCGGTCACTTGACCGACGAGGACTTCGACTGTGTCTGCTTCTACTCCTGCTTCTTCGGTCCTTCGCATTGCGTTTAGCTGACCGAGACCTACTTCGCGAGCGCTGGCTAATTGTACGAAGGCTTTGTCTGCCGCGTCGATCGTCACGTGAAGGCGAACGGTGCCAAGGGCGACTGGATCTTGAACGAGACCGTCGATATCTCTTAGGCTCTGGTCCTTCTCTCTGGCGTCTAACTTCCGGTGATCGACCACTCCTGCGGTAAGAGACTGAGTAANCGACTGAGTAAACCTACGATCAGAAGAGCGGTACGAGTTACGCACTGGGGATCGGTCGAACCTCCGAACAGGTGAGCGGTTATACCTTGAAACAGGAGATCTTCCGCTTCGACGAGCCGGCGAATAGGTTCTTCGAACTGGCGAACGTGTGATGCGCCGGTTAGGGGATCGAGAGGTCCTGTCAGTGGAAGACCGATCTCTTCGGGATGTTGATAAATCACGTCTTCGAACAGGCGAACGAGATCTACGCGGTGATCGGGGTGTATGAGCAGGAGAGCGTGACGTCCTTCGGCGAGGCGACGTAAAAGTTCGGCTACGAGACCGGTGGCGCCTTCGATCCGATGATCGAAAAGTACCTGACGCTCGGTGATTCCGTGATGGAGTGCGGCTGCCATCACGATAGCGAGAGTAGCTACGAGTATCAGGAGTCTTACGAGACCGGTCGGGTTCACGCTCTGAGGATGCAGAAGAATGACTTCGAGAACGAGTTGGCTTGCGATCCAGTGGCCTACGACCCTTACCACTCGGTGATGGACTCGCAGTACGACCACGCGACCTAGATTCGGACCTACTAGACTTTTGACGAGAAGGCTGTAGAACTCTAGGACGAGATGAAGAGCCACGTCGGGACGATGATGACAAACTTCGACGCACGGACGCAGGTTTAACTGGAGAGTGGACAGCGTGGCGTCCGGGTGGAAAAGACTCACGACTACTTGATCGAGTAGACTTCAGATCTTTAACAGTCATGTCCCCCTTAGATGGAGATGTGATTGAGGTTAACCTGCGTGAATGAGATCCCCGACTAGAGGATCGACTCGGGGACGAAGAACTTCGGTCGCGTGACCGGAAATTCCTACGCATGGGTGATGCTCGGAGTGGGGACCGCGTTGGTCTGTGTGATGGAGAGACTTTCTTTGAAACAGACTTCTGCTCCTTTACTTGAGTCAACTTATGACTCGGTGACGTTGGAGATGCGCTTCGTGATCTGCCACCATCTTGTGGTAAGACCGTTACGCTCTCATACTTAGTCGGCGATGTAGATGCGGAATGCTGTGGTGAGGATCTCCGCTCCACAGACTGTGGGGCATCAGAACTACTTGATGAACGACTAGATGACTTCGGTTTTTCGACACAAACAGGCTTTTCATCTTCGGAAGAAGACGAGTTCCGAGCAATTGAGCCAGGTCTGTGGCTTGCTGAACGTGACCTGGACATCCTGTTATCAGACAGAGATGCCCTACTTCCCGATCGGCTAGATTTTTCACGAGCGCTAACATGATCTGGAGACGGTGTCCGAGAACTACTCCGTGAACTGGATCTGCGAATCAATGCTTCCGACGCAATAGATGAAGAGATAGCAGCCTTACGAGCTGGGGAGAGGGCGACGGCTTGTCCCGCTGAGGGAGACCGAGCAAAGCTCCGTGCTGATGTGATTGACTTAGCACTTCCGGAACGGCCACACTCCTGACTCACTGTTTTGTGGATCAGCATGGCAGGAGAGTCCCTTCGCGACCTCGAGGAATGAGTAGGTGATGGTGAAGGCTGTGGTAGTGTTCTAGGGACATCCTCTGAAAGTGGCGTGGGAGTGCGATCCTTCCGAGCCCGCCGCGCAGGTGTACGATTAGCATCTAGTGAAGAGCCCGAAGTGTTCCTACCCAGGGTCTCATTTGCTGAAGGCCTCGGCTTCTTCACCCGTTCGTGACGCGTTGTCCGAGTGCGAGCAGGTGATCGAGATTTGCCTGCCGATAGTGGTTTGGAGTCACGATCTGGAGATAGATTTGTGAAGTGTCGCCGAGAGCCAGTAGGAGCTGGTGGTGACCTATCAGAGTTTTTAGAGCCCCGGCTTGATGAACGTGCAGGCTTACGATCGGGGGATGGACTTAATTTGCGGGATGAAACAGATCGACCAGATGACTGTCGAGACCTTTTAGCAGGCCTGGGACTCTCCATCTTTTCCAGTGGCGTACAGCTTCCTGACCGGTGGCCGTCACCAGGGATTTGTGGTGGGAGTGTTGAATTACGATCTGAGAGCGGGGTGACCTCGCGCTGCGACGATTCAACCAGGATGTGCTCGGTCGCTCGATGTGAAGACTCGCGTTTCTCTGCTGAACGTCGCTTTTTGTGATCTCGCTTCTTCTTCCGTGACTTTCGCTTGGTGGCTGAAGTCGATTTCCTTGAATGCGCAGACTTATCATTCATGAGGTTGTTTTCGTCTGCAGGTAGCACTTCCTCATGAGCGTCAGACGGGGAGCGAGACCTGCTATACTCCACCAGCCCGCCCAGTTGTGGGGATTCCTTGTCTTCTGTCAATCTCGGAGAACTGCTGGCAGCAGTTACAGTTGTCAGAGATGGTAACTCGGGCGTGGCCTCTCGCTTCGTTTCACATGGCTTCCCGTTGTTAACTGTCGAAACGTTAGTCAGCGGGCTACGGGAATGGTCATTCGAGAGATGCTCGTCAGCTGATGTATTCGGAGTGGGACTCTCAGACTTTCGTACACTGGAAGACTTCCGACTTCCCTTTTTCTTCTCGGGAGACGGAGGTCTAACTTCATGTAGCGAGCGGGAAGAGGCACTCCGACTTCGTCCAACAGACCCTGACAAAGAACGCTCGCGAGACTTTCGAGAACCTCGACTGGTCGATGAATCCGACCGATTAAGACGTCCATTCTTCCTCTCGGCGGAACGATTACGTGAGGAACCTCGAGAACTCGGTGAACTTGAACTTCTGGACATCCTGGTGTGTGTACTTGATACGGAACGACGTCGATTAACATCTTTGGGTGAGCCAATGTCAGATTCTCCGGAGGACGCCCGACGACGTCTTGAGAGACTTCGCGATCGTTCAGACGAGCGTGGGCTGGATGATAGGGCACCGC